ACATTCAAGGATAATTTATTTGCATCCATCCACTTTTTTATTTGATGTAGTTCCTTGTTTACGGAGATTACAAGCTCATTATAATCATCACCACTGTATAGAATAGTTGTGTCGTCAGCAAATAGAATTAGTTTTAGTACTTTAGATGTATTAAAAATGTCATTCATATATATGTTAAACAGTTTAGGACCCAATACTGACCCCTGGGGGACACCGCAAGTAATGCCAACCGTGTCTGAAAAATACTGACCCATTTTAACAAACTGTACCCTCCCTGTTAAGTAACTTTTGATCCATTCCCCAGCCAGTCCTCTAATTCCGTATCTTTCCATCTTTTTTAGTAGTATTGAGTGGTTAATGGTGTCAAAAGCCTTTTGAAGATCAACAAAAATACCAACTGTATACTTTTTCTGCTCTAATGCATTTGAGATGTCTTCAATTGCTTCAATTACTGCCATTGATGTTGTTCTTTTGGATCTGAAACCATACTGACCTTCATTTATTATATGATGTTTCTCCAGAAACTTTTCAAGTCGTGAATTGAAAAGCTTCTCGAGAATCTTTGAAAACTGAGGCAATAGAGAGATGGGTCTGTAATTGGAAAATTCATGTTTGTTTCCATTTTTGAACAGTGGAATTACTTTCGCAATTTTCATTTTATTTGGAAAAGAACCGGTCTGGAATGATAAATTACAGATGTAAGTTAGGGGTTTAACAATATTCAGAATAACTTTTTTAATCACGGTCATATTGATATCATGGCAGTCAGTGGACGACTTACTTTTACATGTCTGTACGATTTGTGTTACTTCCTGCTCATTTGTTGCTGAGAGGAAGAACGACCAAGAATTTTGTTTAATAGGGGATTCTGTAACTTCATTGTCTTGAATATCAGCAGCTAATTTAGACCCAATATTTGCAAAGTAATCATTAAACTTATTTACTATATTTCTAATATTATAATCTTCACCATTTTCAAGAACAAAATGATCAGGATATGTTAACTTTGAATGTCCTTGTTTGATTAGGCTATTCAAAGTATCCCAAGTTCCTTTCATATTATTTTTATTTTCATACAGTTTGTTTTCATAGTATAACCGTTTACTTGTTCTTATGATATCCGTTAATTTATTTTTGTATTTCTTATATCTTTGTTCCACTTCTGCTGTTTTAACTTTGAGAAACATTCTGTAGAGATTGTTTTTCTTTTTACAGGCATTAAGTATTCCTTTTGTAATCCAAGGGCTTTGTTTACATTTTTCCTTTATGAAATATTCCTTTACCGGGCAGTGCTTATCATGCAATGAAGTAAAGATGTCTAAAAAGGTACAATAAGCACTGTCCACATCTGGTTCGTTGTAAACCTTGGTCCAATCCTGGAGCAACAGACTGTTGTTTAGGGTGAGGATTGTTTCATCAGTGATTATACGTTTAAATATTTTTGCTGTATTGTCCTGAGTTTTTTTTAGATTACAATCGTACAGAGTAAATATAGGTAAGTGGTCAGTGATGTCACATACCAAAAGTCCACTGCTGATTTTATTCCCGATTATGTTTGTAAAGATATTGTCAATGATGGTGGCACTGTGTGATGTTATTCTGCTTGGTTTTGTTATAGTTGGATATAGAGAAAGGCTGTACATGGTGTCAATGAAGTCATCAACAGTTTTTAACTTGGTCGGATTAAGCAAATTGATATTAAAGTCACCACAAATAAATATGTTTTTTTGATTGACAGAAGAAAACAGTTTACCCATCCACTCATTAAAGCTGTCTATGCTCGAACCAGGTGTCCGATATATACAGCTCATGAAGATATTAGTCTTTTTCTCATTTAGTATTTCCACTGTTAAACATTCAAACAAGCCATCCACAGCTACTGACATATTTTTTACAACATAAAATGTTATTGATTTGTGGATGTATATGGCAACACCACCTCCTGTTTTGTTTGTTCTGTTTGTGTATCTTAGTTCATAATCATCGAGAAAAAATATATTATCTTTGTGCTCATTGAACCAGGTTTCAGTTATTGCAATGATACTAAATGGATGAGTAAATTGCTTCAAGTAATCTTTTATGGCTTCAAAGTTAGAGTACATGCTTCGACTGTTAAAATGTATGATTGACAGGTTGTTTTCTGATTTTACATTGTTTACATATTGATCTTGGGTGAAATAAGTGCAATTGTGAGAAATTGAAGAGAGAAAGTTATTGTCCGGGTCTATATCACTGTCTGTCTCTGTTGTGGTGTGCTCATGGTACTCACACGTCTCCAGGTCCGTTTGCTGATATTGTAGGGTTGACTGTAACATGTCCATGTCCATATTTGATGCAGTCTGTGTTCTCGGCTTGGGCATTGTGATGATGGAGAATGACGCAAGTTAATTTGAGAATTGTTGATACTGGTCTAGGTCTTCCATCTTCCTTATCACCAAGACTTTTGCGCTTTCTGGTGGGCCATTTAATTTAATGAAGATTTTACAGTTTGTTACCCAGGTTTGTTGAATTCGGCCTTGTTTTTTTCAATTGTCGTGCGATTCTTGCCATGTCTGCGTTCTTCTTTGTCAGGTGCTCGTTTATGAATACATTTGTGCCTTTGAGTTTGCGTCCGTCTTGGGACTGTCTCTCATCTGGACTGGGAAACGTGGATATTGAGGATCAACATTGGATCCAAAATCTCTTTCTGGGGTCTTGAGTAGAGGGTGCTAAATAATGAATTCAAATTATACATATGTTTTTGAACGTTATGACTTTAGCAACAGATAAAATATGAATTATTGTAATGAACAGAGGGTATGATAAAAGCCTATACTTTTAACTGAACCGTATTGTATCAAACCATATCTAGATATGGTGACTCTGAAAGATACACAGCCAAAAGGCCAAAGCGATTCCAATATTTAAGCTTAAATTAGCCTTTGACAAAAAAGGATAGAGCAAGATAGGGAAAAGAGTCTCAGTAGGTAGACCAAAATGATCATGGTTTGTTTTCTCTAGCTTCTTCTTTAACAGAAGATGGTAAAAGTTAAAAAGAATAGTTGCCCTCATATAACTGCCTGCTGAAATCTCCTCCACGCAGGATTTCTCGTGCAGCATATGTTCCCTTGGATTTGCCTTGGAGCGGACACTAAATGAGCGTGCTGGGGGCTAACAACAGGAGGAAGGATATGAGACGCTGGAGCTGGTGGCGGTGCAGATGGTCACCATGCTTTACCACAGCCGGTCTGGCTCCACACGCCTTTGGGTTTGTCAAAAGAAACATGCTAGTTGATTTGGTTTGATTATTTTCCTCGTCACAATCCAACTCATGATGGTGAGTATAATGTGTTAATTAGATCTCCTCCGAAACTGAAAAGGCCGAGAGCAATTGCCCTTGTTAAAAGCTCCAGCAACCTCTGGTATAATCTGTGTGCAGTTCATATAGTCACACAATCATAAATGTCATTTTTTTCACCTCAGTTCTACCCGGGGACATAACCTTTAAAATTGAGATTGTTGGACTATAAGCCGCTAGATTTACGCAGCTAAAATCTGAAACTGTCTTTGTGAAAATGTGAAACGGATCTATATTTTGACAATGTTTAAATCCAGGTTAAAAGATTAAAATCCTTTATTTTATCCTAGATCCTTTATTTGTCCTACAGTGCGGAAATGTCAGTAAAAACAGCTCTTTTTAGCTGTGCATAAAACTGAAAGTGTTCTGCAATTTTTAATCCGTACAATGTATTCATTTGTAAGATTGTTTCGGTTTTATCTATAATCTTGTTTTGTTAAGCACTTTGAGTTTCCTTGTGTATGAACTGTGCAATACAAATAAACTCAAGCTCTTATCATCTTGCGGACTAATATAGTGATGCAGCTAATGTATGTATTTGACGTTTGTTAGAGCACCCCCTGGTGTGCAGAAAAGGATACAACACAACTCCATCTCAATCGTTAATCTTCTTTGTGTTTATGTGAACAGTGGAAAGCCAATCCGAGCAAGTGCAGGGATGTGATTAGGGCTGTTGTCAAACCAGAAAATATGGACTTACTACTGTGACTCTATCCAAGTTTTAGTCGGAATTTTATTGACAAAACAGACTGCATTTACCAGAGTACTTTGATTAAGTCACGTGTCAAAAGTGTTGTTTTGCTCCATCAGGTGTTGGTAAGTGTTACATTACAACATGAAAACCAGTGACTTATGTTCAAGTGCATGTATGTGGACAAAAAACACTTTCTTTTCAAATGTAGCTGTGGTTGTTTATTTACTGGTGCGATTAATAGTCCAGCACTGTTGTTGTCTTCCCTTGCCATTTACACCCACAAAGCTGCCATTTCTCTCCCTTCAGTCCTCTGACTACCAGCACCTAGTACATCCCCGGGTTTTTCTTACTTAGTAATATGAGGAGGATCCACCCGCATGTCGCTGTCGTTTTTGCTTCAAGGGAAAAATATATATTCACATCACAATTTTGTCTGTGGAGGAGCAGTGCTATTGATGTGAGTATGTTTTCCTGACTCACCGACAGAGGGGGCGGGGTTTGTGAAATAACGGGCTAAGTGGTTGAGGGAGACTGAAGGTGGATACTGTGTTAGCTCAAGATTTCATTTGAACTGTACACTTGATAAAAAGGCCCAGAGGCCATAGAGGATCATAAAGTACAGTATCAGGTTAAAGACGCTATAACAGAAAGCTCCGGTATGAATAACGGTATCTTAAATAAGAGAACGCATTCAGACTCATACATATTACAACACAAGTAGCTGTACACTGGAATACAAGTGGAAAGAGGTGTAGAAAAGATCAGGCCCTCCCAAATATTATTACTCTTAATGTACATATAAATGTGAATGTGTGCAAGGTTCTTAACTGTATAAAGTTATGTAAATCAAATACATCTATATTTGTGCAATAAAAATCCCAGTGGAATCCATGGTAACCCTGGCTGTCTATCACTTTCCAAGTGTGGCACAGGCACATCCTCTGCCTCCTAATCCCCTCTAAGCCTCACCTGTCCCCCCTCTCTGGATCAGCAGGGTGGCCTCCGCTCCCACAGGACACTCCTTCAGCAGCTCCACCACACGGTTGTGCCCGGCTGCGGCCACAGGCTGCTGGTTCACCTCCAGGATCAGGTCTCCTTCAATCAGGTTTGACGCTCCCTGTGGCGCCCCAGGCTCCAACACCTGCGCCACAGTGACCTACACATTAGACAGACTCAGAATACTTAAAACGTCCACACGACACACAAGCACAACATTAAATACAAACACAGAACTCACCAACTATTGTGACAAGAACCAGTGCTGAAAGAGTGCAACATGCGTAATATATAAGATTGTCTCATGGGTCATCTGTCTGTGAATGGAACATTAACATATGCTGTGGTTGAAACTTATTTTTTGTATAAAATAGTTTCAGTGGACATGAGACAGAGAAGTGCTGAGCTTCTCGTGTTAGAGAGAGAGCCTCTATTTCACAGGTTTAGAGTTAAAAGCATCACAGAGAGTTCACAAATACAGAAGATTAGATTAAATAGATCATAATAGGTCTATTATGACAAAAGATAATGTCAATATACAATTTAAAAGAAATGTAAAATTGTGGAATTATGTTGAAAAGAATGATATACTGTATGTTATACTTGATCTTCAATTGCACCACATTTCTCAAATTTCTGCACAGGTGCAATAACTAAGAAAATAACTAAGAAGCAAAACAAGATAAGAATACCCAATTCCAACATATATATTTGGATTAGGTACAGGTGTCATACTGGACATTACTGTTGTACGACCCGCTCACTCTTACAGAACACATTTACATTCTGTCTCGTCGTGTCTCGAGGGGCGGGACAGAGTTGCTCTGTCTCTAAGTCATAATTAGTGACATAAGAGAAGAGTGCTCACCTGCTTGACCCGCTGACCCGTGGGACTGTCTGCGATGGTGAAGCCGAAGCCCTCAGACCCCTTCACCATGGTCACGGTGAGCAGCTCTGTGGGCTGCACGGTCACCCCGGCCCCCACGGTGGTCCCTCCTGAGCCCATGGAGCCTGTGTCTTCGTGGGGGGTGACGGCTGAGCCTGGGGTGGTGGGGGGCAGCGAGGAGCCGTCCAGATGAGTGTCCCCCGGGTGAGGGGTGCCGGCCAGGCTCTGAGAGGGCAGCTGGGAGCTCAGAGACAGGTACTCCAAGTAAGGGTCATAACTGGTGCGTCCGTTCACCACCAGGGGGCGATGTTCCAGGCCGATAGGGGTCAGAGACGTGCCTGCTGCAGCGTTAGGGTCCTCTGGGTCAAAGGGCAGGGGGTAGCCCCGGCAGAGCACCAGGGTAACGCTCTGACCAATGGGCACAGACTGGAACAGTTTGACCACGTCTGCATGAGTGGTGCCCAGCACACAGATGTCGTTTATGTACACGATCACGTCACCTGCACACACACACACACACAGGAAATATATTATATATATATATATATATATATATATATACTGTATATACACATCAAATGTGAGGAAAGGGTCTTATTTTTTAGTGAAAGGATTTCTTATTCATCTGAGTCCTGTTGCAAAAAGACCTTTAGGAACTTTGAACATAATACCTATTGCGAAGACTAGGGACCAAATCAGCTGCTTTTGAGTCTTGCGAGATTTCATTGATTTTAACAAATGTTATGAATCATTAGAAGTTACTGCCTCCACTCACAACTTTAGCCTAACCTGTTGTTTTACAATCCACACATCTATGATGGAGAACTGTGACATTCACTTTTTTATTTTTCATATTTCCAAATAAATAAAACATATATGATGATTTATCTTAGTTACAAAATAATTAGCAATTTAAGTTCCATATAGTGTGTTATATTTTGTGGTATATGTATGATGAAAATAAACGTAATTGTTCATGTTAGTTAGCTCCGGCTGAAAGATAAGTTGAACTTATCTTTACAACTTTCCCTCACAAATGAAAACTGCAAAAGTGATCCCCATATTCAAATCCGGAGACAAACACTGTTTCACCAATTATGGGCCAATCTCCCTTCTACCTCAGTTTTCCAAAATATTAGAACAATTATTTGATACAAGACTCCGTGGGTTTATTGAAAGACATAATTTATTGTCTGATAGTCAATATGGGTTTAGGGAAAATAGATCTACATCACTTGCTCTTATTGACTTAGTCAAGGAGATAACAAATGGAATCAAAAAAAAAATTTTAATTGGAATTTTTATTGATCTTCAAAAAGCGTTTGATACCATTGATCATGATATCTTGATTAACAAACTGGAGGCCTATGGTATAAGGGGATTGGCAAATAAATGGTTTCAGAGCTACCTGAGAGAGAAACGGCAGATTGTTCAGATCGATCAACACAAATCGAGTTGTAGGGACATACCCTGTGGAGTACCACAAGGTTCAATACTGGGACCAACTTTATTTATATTGTACATTAATGAAATATGCAAAACATTGAAGTTGATGAAATTCATTCTCTTTGCTGATGACACGGCTATTACATGTCCAGGTGACGATTTGGAGCAACTTTTGTCTACAGTAACTGTGGAATTGAACAAAGTAAAAACATGGTTTAACAGTAATAAATGATCACTAAATTTAAAAAAGACCAAAATTATGCGCTTTGGCAATCGTAAAAGTAATATTCCAGTCAGAATAATAATTGATGATACACCAATTGAGAAAGTCAAACAAAATGCTTTCTTAGGAGTTATTATAGATGATAAAATCAATTGGAAACCCCACAAAAGTTACCTGAGAACAAAGGTTGCTAAATGTGTGGGAATGATGAAGCGAGCGAGTCCTTCACTGAACACAAATGCCCTACTCCTGTTGTATCATTAATTCATCATGTCATATTTATTTTATTGTATTGAAGTTTGGGGAAACTGTGACAAGTCTCACTTACAGCCTTTATTCACTTTGCAAAAGAAGGCTATTAGGATTGTATCTAATGTTCATATAGACATCATTCACACCCATTATTTTTAGACTTGGGACAACTTAAACTTCAAGACTTGATTCAATTTAAAACTGCTCAAATAATGTTCAGGGCATCGCAAAACTCTCTCCCACCGAGTTTGCAAACGCTGTTCCATGATAGAGATGCTCACCACCAGTATCAACTAAGAGGAAACAAACAACTGTTCTTACCTAAATTTAGAACGACTTTAAAATCAATGTGTATCTCCGTGTGTGGAGTTACTCTGTGGAACAGTCTATCTGATGAAATTAAAATGTGTTCAAACCTAATGCTATTTAAAAGAGTGTTTAAAAAAGAAATAGTGAAGAAGTACAAGGAGGAAAGAGATTGATGCCCTCAGCACTGAGCAGTTGGAGGAGAGAGGTGTATGGTCGGGGAGTGTTTGGGCCTGTGTGTGTGTGTGTGTGTGTGTGTGTGTGTGTGTGTGTGTGTGTGTGTGTGTGTGTGAGTGAGTGAGTTGTCTTGTCTTATACCATTGGTGGTAGTTACTGTATTGTTGTTACTGTATGCACTTTACAGTAAACATTTGTATAATGTGATTGTGCATTTACCCAGTATGTATTGTTTCTGTCTTATTGTTTGTCCTGTGTCTGGGTGAGGGGGGTTTGGATTAATATAAGCATTTTGCTTCCTCCAACCCCTTTTCAATCCCTGTACGTGTTTTTGCTTTTGTTTTCTTGTTTCCTGTAAAATGATGTGTGCAGGTTTTGACTGTCTTGACATTATGTTCAAGTAGAACTCTGGTATTAAGTTATAACTATTATTAGTCCTGGACACTTTGTGTTAACCCTTTAGTGGTGCCAGGGATCCATCTTTTATCAGTTTCACATCACATTTCTGAAAGAACTCGAATGCATTATGGCTTAATATCATATTTTTAAGGGATTTTTCCTTTTATTTTAGGTTTAATTGTTTAAACCTTAATATATATTTCATTCTAAGGGGACAATTAGCAGAGACCACTTCCTTCATGTATGATTCCAGCCTGTCTATTAATACCCTGAGTCCCACTGGTCACTGGTGGAGGGAGAAGCCATCATATCAGTATAGTGTCACTGGAGGCTGTGGCCAGTGGACGTGTGAGACAGTGAGGTGAGAGCTGACATCCATCTGCTGCACACTGGTGTCCACAGAGACCAACTTATGTTTAGCACTGACAGAACAGTGCCCGTGTCCAAAATAGACTTTTCCTTCAAACTCTTGACAACTGCAGACAGCCTGTTATAACAGCATGTGAGCACGTCTGTCTGCTTGTACTTTTGTAACACACTCAATCTTTGTACTTGAAGCTGGAGCATAAATTCAACATTACATTTCTTATACCAATAAGACATTTCCAGCTGGTAACACCTGCTTAGAACGTCTATTATGTGTGGACTAAGTGAATTTACAAATATAAACACCAGGATCACAGAGAACGCTAAACCACAGTTTTATAAGCCCAAAATGGTGAGTGTGAAGCAAACCGTTTCTGAGCTAGAGGAGAAAACCGATCGAGCTAGGGGGGTTAGCATTGTCCATTTGTATTCAGTCTATGGTCAACTGTTAGCTAATTCTAACTAACTCTAACTGGGTGTCATGGTGTGGGTTTTATTTTTGTATTTTTGTTTTATTTTGACATTGTTCTCTCTGGTTTGGTTTTAGTTGTACTTCCTGTCCTGTTTGCCCCTGTCTTGATTGTCTGCCCCGCCCTGATGTGTTTCACCTGTGTCTGTGTCTATATGTACCCTGTGCTTCTCTCCCCTTGTTGCTAGTCCATTGTCTTGTCAACGTCCTGTCTTGTCTTGTTCATGTCTCTGTCTGTTTCCGTCCTGTTCCTGGTTCTGTATTTTGGATTTTGAGTTTTGTTTTTACCTTGGACTTTATTTTATTAAATCTTTATTTTGGCATTCTCGCATTTTGAGTCCTCCTCCTTCTCAGCACGTGACACTGGGGGTGCAGTGGCTGAGAGAGAAGGACTCCAGCCTCAAGCAAAGAAGCTTGGATTGGACAATGTATAGGCTTTTCCCACTGTGGACAACTGTGGGAAAGGGTGGTGTGTTGTTTGGACCCATGTTTGACACCATGGAGAAGACAGGGAACAAAAGATACAAGACACAAGAAATAAAAGAGTGAAAAAGAAACTTCCGAGTCCCAGAGTAAGTCTATTAAAGTGGCGCCAGGACCACATGGAATCACAATATAATTGGACTACAGCAAGTTTATCATCCACGTGGTGCAATACAAATATGTGCAGACATATTTTTACAAGAATAACTTTATAGAGGATAGAGCCATGTGTGCAAATGGCCAAACTTTGATGGCTTGTTATGCTGGCTTCAAGTTTTATCAAAAATATTTCACACAATTCCAGAGTAAGATTTAAAGTATATGAGAAAGTCATTCTATTAACAGATTAGAAGTAACACACATACATACAGAAGTAACACACATACATGAGTAACACACATACATGAGAAACACACATACATGAGTAACACACATACATGAGTAACACACATACATGAGTAACACACATACATGAGTAACACACATACATGAGAAACACACATACATGAGAAACACACATACATGAGAAACACACATACATGAGAAACACACATACATGAGAAACACACATACATGAGTAACACACATACATGAGTAACACACATACATGAGAAACACACATACATGAGTAACACACATACATGAGTAACACACATACATGAGTAACACACATACATGAGTAACACACATACATGAGTAACACACATACATGAGAAACACACATACATGAGTAACACACATACATGAGTAACACACATACATGAGTAACACACATACATGAGTAACACACATACATGAGTAACACACATACATGAGTAACACACATACATGAGTAACACACATACATGAGAAACACACATACATGAGTAACACACATACATGAGTAACACACATACATGAGTAACACACATACATGAGTAACACACATACATGTTACACACATACATGAGAAACACACATACATGAGTAACACACATACATGAGAAACACACATACATGAGTAACACACATACATGAGTAACACATATACATGAGTAACACACATACATGAACATGAGTAACACACATACATGAGTAACACACATACATATCTAGAAACAGAGGAATCTCAATTTGATTGAATACAAAAAATACAATAATACATCAACACTTAAATAAATTAGATTTTATCCAATTATATTATTAGTAGTATTGATAATTATCTGAACATATTTCTTACTCGTCCTTAAACATAAGTATAGATTATGTAAGTGATAATGTATAGTAAGCAGGACATTATCGGAAAATAAGTACCAACAGGGTGTGCGCGTTGGGGTCCGCTAACCCTTATTTTCCAATAATGACCTGCCAACTATACATTATCCCGCTTATTATACGGCTTTGTACGAACAGAACACACAACATAAACTTCAGTCCACTTTTATGAATGCTGAAAGGTTTATTTAATGACTGCAAATAAAATAGTTCCCAAAGATTTTCCCGTGGCTATACAAGTAACAGTTAGGCTAGCAACTTCCAAACTAGAACTCACTTGAACAGCATGAAAACTGAACAAAGAATTCTGAACATCAGCGGTGAGTGACCCAAACATACACTCAACCTAAATCCATAATCCGATCTTCTGCAAATGTTCCTAAAATGTCCCGGAATGTACTTCCGGGTCTATTTCAATTGCTTTTTCCTCGCATAAAAACAGTATTTTTGTCATGAAAACGTCAACAGATAATTCTGAAAACCTCCGTGCATGTGTGTTAAGAATGTATATGTATAATGTATTCTCCGATTGACATTTAAATGTGTGGATTGATTGGTATTTGTGTTTAATGAGCGTGGCTAGCTCCGATAGCGACAGTAGTAGCGACGAAGTGGCCGGAACTACTTGTGGAGTAATCTACACACCTGAATTACAAGCAGAGGGTGCGTTGCCAAAGGGCAGCGGTCGTTCTTGTTTTGAGAGGTCCGTTATCAAGACATAATGACTGGTAGAACGTTTAGAAATTACATTCAAATCAAGTGAGCGTTCAACTGCTGCTGGGCGGAGCTGTGTAATAACAATATATAATGCTTTAGTTTAAAATCAAAGGCCTTGTCTGAGCTCTTAATGATGCTTTGTCTAACTGACTTTGTTTGACCTTCTGTAATGAAACAATAAAAGTATGTGGCAGACAATGCTTCTTAAGGTTAATTTTTATGCAGTTGACCAGCTGAGCCACATGACGAACCGGAGCACAGCAGCACAACTACAGGAGAGCCCAAAGAATCGCATTTTTAAGATCAAGGTTGGAACATATACTGTAGGAACAAAGAAACTCTGGTATTTTTGTACATACTTCCATCATAAGTGGTATTTAAAGTGCTTCACATTAAGAACCCAATCGCCCACTCACACACATTCATAAACCATTCATACACCAGTGGAGGCAGACTCTGGGGGCGAGGCGGGTGTCTTGCCCAAGGACACAGGGCAGCATTCACCAATGGGAGCTGGTTTCACACCTGTGCAACCTGCAGGTCAATTGCTCCCTGCTCGACCAAAGATGTTTATGCCGGGAGCATTTGAACTGCCAACCTTTCTCTCTTTTTTCCATTTCTCTTTTAATACAAAAATGAACAGCCACTGTGTATATAATCTATTGAATTATATTATTGCTGCGTGCCAAAACATGTACGCTAGTCTCTCTCTCATTAAAGGATATTTATTTTTTGCCAAGAGTGCCTTTAATCTTATAGATAAAATTTGGGCTGTAACAAGTTCATTAATTACAACTAATAAATCTGAATTTTTGGGATTCAAACAACTAATAGGTTAATCCAAAATAAAATAATACAAATACAACAAATTCATTATCAAAACAGCAACACGATCCAAACTCGATCCAAGATATGTATTTATTCTACTTTTACCTTGGATCCAGGGAACCGACCGGACCAGAGCCAGTGAGTGTTGTCTGTGCGTGCGCGGTTCTGATTTAGGGGTGTCAAGTATGAACATTTTACCTCACGGTTATAGTGACTAAAATGATCACGGTTTTCAGTATCATTGGGGTATTTTTTTGTTTAAGTTCAGTGAATATGTTCAGAAAGCATTGATAGTCCTACACAAACTGAAATCGTCCACTTAACTATAATACACTATAATGTTGTGCCTAATTTCAATCTTAATTTCAACGTCTCATCTATTACTGGACTATCATTATCTATTGATCTATTAATCTATTGAAGAAAACAGGATCTTGTCAGTTTCCTGTTTTTAAAATATTACTATTCTTATGTTTTGCAATGAAATGTCTATTTTTTTGATGCACTTGACAATGTACTAAAAAGAGTAAGCAGAGACCTGATATTTTTTGTGAAGTTTGAGCTCGCCCTTGTCTGGTATGATGTATAGCTTATATAAATATAGTGCAGCCCATATATCAGAATCAGAATCAGAATCAGAATCATTTTTATTGCCACGTAAGTAACAGGAGGTCACAGACTAGGAAATTGCTTTGGCTCAGTGCAACAGTCAAAAAGAGATAATAAAAAAAAGAATAAAAAAACACTTCTAAAGAATAAATTTAAATTTAAAATAGAGTTACAGTTACTATTTACAATATACAAGTGCACATGGTGCACACAATGTAAGGTGACAGCAGTACAGTGAAGTAAAGTGACGTATGATGGGCAGTAAAGTGACTTTATAAAGGGCGGGGGGACAGGTTAAGAAGTGTTCAAGAGTCCAACAGCAGAGGGGAAGAAACTGTTCTTGTGGCGGGAGGTTCTAGTCCTGATGGACCGCAGCCTCCTGCCTGAGGGGAGTGGATGGAATAGTCCATGTGCAGGGTGAGAGGGGTCGGCTGTGATACGACCAGCCCGGCCTCGAGCTCGGGCGACGTACAGGTCCTGCAGCGATGGAAGGCTGCGGCCGATCACTTCCTCTGCAGAGCGCACAATGCGCTGTAGTCTCTGTTTGTCCCTGACTGTGGCTCCAGCGAACCACACGGTGAGGAGGAGGTGAGGATGGACTCGATGATGGCCGTGTAGAACTGCACCAACATCTGTGCAGGCAGCTTGGCTTTCCTGAGCTGCCGCAGGAAGTACATCCTCTGCTGGGCCTTCTTGATGAGGGAGCTGATGGTCGGCTCCCACTTGAGGTCCTGGGTGATGGTGGTGCCCAGGAAACGGAAGGACTCCACAGAGGTGATGGGGGAGTCCATCACGGAGGGTGGGGGCGGGGGGACAGTGCTCTTCCTGAAGTCCACAATCATCTCCACTGTCTTCTGGGCGTTCAGCTCCAGGTTGTTACCACTGCACCAGGACACCAGCCGGTCCACCTCCCTCCTGTAGGCGGACTCATCGTTGTTGGAGATGAGTCCAATGAGGGTGGTGTCGTCCGCGAACTTGATCAGCTTCACAGAGTCGTGGCTGGAGGTGCAGTGGTTGGTGTACAGGGAGAAGAGCAGGGGAGAAAGAACACAGCCCTGTGGGGCTCCTGTATTTATAAACCGAGAGTCCGAGACATTCTTCCCCAGACGCACTCGCTGCTTCCTGTCCGTCAGGAAGTCAGTGATCCACCTGCAGGTGGAATCGGGCACGTTGAGCTGGGAGAGCTTGTCCTGGAGCAGGGATGGCAGGATTGTGTTGAAGGCAGAGCTGAAGTCCACAAACAGGACCCTGGCGTAGGTCCCCGGGGAGTCCAGGTGCTGTAGGATGTGGTGGAGGGCCAGGTTAATGGCGTCGTCTACAGATCTGTTGGCTCTGTAGGCGAACTGCAGGGGGTCCAGGAGGGGGGAGGTGAGGGACTTGAGATGGGAGAGAACCAGGCGTTCAAATGACTTCATGACGACAGACGTAAGTGCTACAGCACTAGCAGCACTAGCTTGGTTTTGCTTTAATTGTCTTATTAGAAGAACCTAAAAAGTCGTAAGTGCTACAGGTCTGTAGTCGTTGAGTCCTGTGATCCTGGGCTTCTTCGGGACGGGGACAATGATGGAGGATTTGAAGCAGGCCGGGACATGGCAGGACTGCAGAGAGGTGTTGGAAATGTCCGTGAACACAGGAGTAAGCTCACTGGCGCAATGTCTCAGAGTGGCCGGAGACACGTGGTCCGGGCCAGGAGCTTTGCGGGGGTGCAGCCTCAGGAAGAGTTGTTTAATGTCTTTAGAGGCTATTGTTAGGCTGGGGGCAGGGCTGATGGGTGGGTCGTTAGAGTAGTGGGGGGTGGGGGAGGGAGAGGTGTCAGGGGCAGCATCAAAGCGACTGAAAAATAAGTTCAGTTCGTCAGCTAGCTTGTGGTCGTCAGAACAGGGGGGGGCTTTGGGTTTGTAGTTGGTGATCTCCCGTAGGCCCCTCCAGACAGAAGCAGTATCGTTGTTACCAAACTGCTCCTGTAGTCGTTCTCTGTGCCGGGACTTGGCTGCTTTCAGTTCTTTCCTGAACTGATATTTAGCTGCTTTGTAGCCGCTGCGGTCCCCCTCCCTGAAAGCAGACTCCTTTGCTTTCCTGAGCTGCCGGAGTTTAGCAGTGAACCAGGGTTTGTCGTTGTTATAGATGACCCTGGTCCTTGTTGGAATGATGCTATCCTCGCAGAAGTGGATGTATGACGTCACAGTGTCCGTATATTCGTCCAAACTATCTGTGGCAGCTCTGAAAAGGTCCCAGTCTGTAGATTCCATGCATGCGCGCAGCTCTTCCACAGCTTCATCAGACCACACTTTGGAGCTCCTCACTGCAGGTTTTGAGAGCTTTATTCTCTGTCTGTAAGCAGGAACCAGATGTATCATGGAATGATCTGAGAAGCCGAGGGCTGGCTTGGGAACAGCGCGAAAAGCTGTTATCCCACAAATATCCCACAAGGGCCAGTGACGTCCTCTCAAGAAGTAATGTCTCACACCACCGTCTGCTTTTGGAGAAGACACTTTGAATAACCGTAGATGGCGTCATTAGCAATAAGTGGATTTTGGTTATTGGAGTAATTTAGAAACATATCAGGTAATACTCCTAATTTCCTCCACCAGATAAACGTATAATTACACACACTCAAGTTGTTTATGTGAGTAGACTTTCAGATGTTTGGTAGACTTTTAAATCTGCTCTTGCATTGGAAAACATTAGTACCTAATCATAATTACTGACACTTAAAACAAGATCACAGAATTAAAGTCCCGGTTATGTGGTGTCTCACTTTTGTCCGTATTCTGACCTCTTTAGGAAAGCTAGTAGGTAGGTATGTAAGTAATCTTTATATATAATACAATTGACAGACCAACGTCACACTAATCTATCTATCTACCTACCTACCTGTCTGTCTATCTGTCTGTCTATCTGTCTATCTGTCTACCTATCTATGTTGTTAGTGGTGGGGGAAACCTGTGTACCTGTGTCCATCTTGCCGTCTTGTGCGGCCGGCCCCTCGGGGATCACACTCTTGACCTGGAGGAACTCGTCCGGCTCGTCTCCTCCGATGATGGTGAAGCCGAAGCCCATGTTGCTCTTCTGCAGCTCAGTGGAGAGGAACGTGCCCTTCAGCTGCGTGGGGTCTCGTGTGAACAGGGGCTTTTCTGTAGAGAGAGAGGGGGTAGAAAAAAGAGGTGTTAAAACGTGTTAACTGTTATCTTATATTTTTCCTTTTTAGGGTTATTATTTGACCTATTTGTAGTTTTATTTAAGCTGTTTCTCGCCCCGGGCCAGCTTCTTATTTATATTACTTTAAACTGGATGGACTGCTTGCGGAGTAATCTTACAAGCCTGATTTACAAGTACAGATTGCGTTGCCATCGGCAGCGGTCATTATTGGTTTGAGAGGTCTGTTATCAAATGAAATCGAAATTACATTGAAACAATGGAGCGTTCTACTGCTACTGTGAGGAGCTGTATTATATATTTGTATATTGTCTTTGTAAATCCAGATATGAGCCATATAAGGATTGACCAATCAGATGTCTTCAAATCCAATCAGAGGGCCCTCTAACGAAATGAAAATTAATGCATTGGCCGAATCACTAAATAGGTTGTCGCATCCAGAGAAAATGAAAAACGTTGCAGCTTTTAGTTCAGCAAACACTGAAGTTGTGATATTACATGGCATCTGTGCGTGACCTGTCAGACCTCTGAAGGGTCAGTATTGTGACGGGAGACCTTTGAGAATTGTCTACCCCTTTATTACTTTATTAATCCATTTCTGGGTTTTATGATTTCTGGCAATCAGAGTCTCACCCAAGTCTCATGGCACCAGTCCCTCAAGCCACCAGGAGATGGCTTCTCCCTCATTGAAGACATTGGCCTTGATCTTTCAGTGAGGACTTCAGGCAATATGGGATTAAGGGTCTTGCCCAGGGACACAACAACAGTAGACATCAGTGGGAGCAGATGACATGGGTCATGGTGGAATCGAACCCACGATCATTAGGTCCAAAGACCAGTTCTCTAGCAGCTTAAAAATAATCATAATCATTAATATAATTATAATTATTATTTTTATTATTATTATTATTATTATTATTATTATTATCATTATTATCATTATTATTACATTCCACATTCTTAATCCCTACCAATAAAATGGTAAAAAACACCTTTAGGAGAATTTCTTATTTTTCTTGTTTGTGTGAATTTTTATCCTGTCACACATCATTTATGAGAGCAGCAGATAAACGCACCTTTTTTGATTTTAGAAATGAAATTGGAATGACTGCAGGGTGGCTTCATATGGGTAAAAGTGATGTGTCAGAAGTACCTCTGTAAATGGTGGGGAGGGGCAGAGCAGACAGGCCCTGGCTCTGGATCTGTCTCTGCTGCTCCAGGCGCCTCTTTGCCTCCAGCACCGGGTTCTCAAACTGTGTCCTGCGGTTTATATGACTGAAACCCACAACATTACATTATAGATAAACAGAACACTGCACCAGCACAAGAATCTAACTCTCCAAGGTCATATAGCCTGAAGAAGTTTATGAGTTCGATGAGATGGATTTTCATAATTGTATACAGTATAAGGCTGGGACTTTTTTTCTACTGTCACAGATCATCCACATGTATAGTTAAACAGGGACGTACAGTAATATATAATGTTGTTTGAGTAGTGCGCACTTACATACAGTCCATTAAAAATTAAAAATAACAAAGGCTGTGATGTTTCTATCAATATTAAAATGGGCTGGTGCTGATGGGCAGCGAGACGAACGATCTCTTCATATTCTACTCAGTGGTGTCCATTAAAGATCCTCTGCGACCATTCTCCAGCTCTGTATGTGTCTTTAACAACATTGAAAATAATCATTTTTAATCAAATGACATTCTGGGATTGCTCCTTAATCAATCATTATTGGATCAAACTGTGCTTGTCTTAAAAAAGTAAATTATGTTCACTTTAAGTTTTGAACTCTTTTGTGGGATTAGTGAATTATTAAATTTGAGAAAGAGTTTATTCTAGTATTATTCTAATAGTGCTTTTGGGAAGCAAAAAAATCAATCACCAGGAGATGGCTAAGGTATCTGATGGGTGGATGTGACGTGAAATATACAGATATGGAAAAAAGGGACTGCAGCGGTCAGGCTGGAGGAGGACACATTTGGGAATATCTGGAAAAGGTAGTTACACATTCAACAATTTAGATTTGGTTTAGAATGTTACAATCTTTTTCATTACCAGTCATTGGTTTGATGTATACTGGACCTTTAACCCTACTTTAATATATACCGGGCTTCTGACCCTATTTTGAGGATACTGTGCCTCTAACCCTATTTTTTAACTCACAAAAAAAGAAAAATGTCTCCTAAAAACAGACTGGGCCTCAAACCCTACTTTGATGTACACTGGGCCTCAAGCCCTACTTTAATATATACTGGGCCTTTAACCCTACTTTAATGTATACTGGGCCTCAAACCCTACTTTGATGTATACTGGGCCTCAAACCCTACTTTGATGTATACTGGGCCTCAAGCCCTACTTTAATATATACTGGGCCTTTAACCCTACTTTAATGTATACTGGGCTTCCAACCCTACTTTAATGTATACTGGGCCTCTAACCCTACTTTAATATATACCGGGCTTCTAACCCTATTTTGAGGATACTGTGCCTCTAACCCTTTTTTTTTAACTCATAAAAAAAGAAAAATGTCTCCTAAAAACAGAACTTTTTTATCTAAGTGACTGCTACAAGTTTCAGTATTACAGCTCTTAGAAATATTTTTGTCTTTGTTTTTGCTTGAGCCAAGGCAATGGATTTGAACCGATGCTTTTCACATCATATTTCATCTTCTGTTGGAGTTTGCGTTGGACTCGTTAATCATATTTGCAGCAGAAAGCTGAGATAACACAGACATATTTGTTGATGCAGCCAAATCTATTACGACAGATTAGAGCGAGCCGTAATGTTTCCGCAAATAAAAGAGAAGTTCCATCACAGCGCTGTAGTCTGCGAGCCACAAACATAAAGCATGATCAGGTGGTTACTGTCTCAGCTAGAGCATTCTGCAAATAAGCAATGAGATCTAAAGAGAGAACATCCTCATTCATAATTCAGCCGGCAGTGTAACCCATAAAAATGCTTTTCTGTTTTACGACTGATGTAAGCACGTCCGCGGGGAGACTCACTCCACGTAGTAGCTCCCGTAGATGGGGTCGTCGATCTTCTCCCAGCCGTAGGGCAGCTCTGCGGAGAAGAAAGGAAACAGAACAAGATGATGTCAGCTGACGTTTGTGTACTACTGAGCGAGAATGACTGTGTCCCGACTCTAAATCAGAAAGGGGAGAGGAGAGGCGGAGTGCTGCTTTAATGGACAGACGGGACTTCGATCGGCCCGGTTCACCGCGCACTGATCACAGAGGAGATGTCAATACAAACAGGATTGGACAATGAGAAGGACTGTTTCAATATTCTCACGATGACTTCAGACGGTCCGGTGTTGTGCCTGTCGAGGGAGAGTAAATAGCTGTAGAATGTTAAAGTTATTATGTTAAAAAAGATGCAAGCATTTTGATAAAGGTTTTTTTTTAAGCTTTGAATTATGTTACAAGCTTTGATTGTCCATTCACACTAATATTAGTAACTTACACCACATCTAAAAGCTTGTGTCTCCGTCCTGTTATAATATTAAGTAATTGTACTGCTATGACTTCAGGCTCAGACAAGTTTTCTGCTTACCTATACGTAGGCATCAAAAAAAAATAAAAATAAAAAGTCAACCCTCCCTCTTGTGGTTGTATTGGGAGTTACAGGCAGAGAGCATTGTTTTTCCTTCATACATGTTTCACTATAGATGTTCTACTGAAGATATTATTTCACTTTCTAAAATGATGTAAAACAAAACAAATCATAGTGGTAATTCCTGGTACTTATTCCTGGGGTAATACAATCTGTGTGAATAATTTCTCGCTCTCACAATGGATATTTTTGGCCCCGTCACATATTTACATCAGCTTTTTCAGACACAGAAAAGTAAAAAAGGGAGGACCACCCTCATTCAGCCAATCATCTCTCAGCCCAATGCGTCAAATAGTGACTCACAGGGCTCTTACTTACAAGTATGCAAACAGGTTTTTATAATAGGATGTGGTTTGATTTGTTCACAACGTTTTATCTTTTGCAATACTTTTACTCTATTTATTATTTATGGGAAAAAAGTCAATTTCTTTGTTCTTCCCAGTGAGCTACTTAAGAATAACATGTAACCAAATTTTCAGCCCCTTTAGAAGTACCGGTAAATGTCACTCTTATATCCTAGAATGCATTGAGCTACTAACCTATTTAGTTAGTAGTTAGTGGGTGGTCTCTAAATAGGTTACTTGATGCTGGGTGCTTTTGGACACAGAGAACACACATGTATGCAGCTTGTTCCACTTTTAAAAGAGGGCATTATTTCTAAATTAAACCATGTTTTTGTCTCTTGTCATTTTAGCTATTTAATCCTTGCATGTTTGAGTAATCCTACATGGTCCTGAAAGCGTGGAAATCATGACTTATTGACCCTTTTTGTTCAAGAATAGAAAAACAAACTCATACAATCTGCACGCTGTTAGGAAAAAGGGCGATATGCGCTTGTGGTGTCAAGGATTGGGATAACGATATTCAGTATATTGTAGAGCTGCAGTTACGATCAACTATTTTCTGATTAATGGATTTGTTTTTTCTTTTAATCAAAACAATAACGTATTGATAATTAAGATATTGATGTAAATGGAAAAAAATATGTTTTTGTTTTCCACAGTTAATCTTTGATGTTTTTCCCTCTCTGCCTCTTCTTCTGTCGTCTCTCCTAAAGCCAAAGTTCCACATTTCGTAACTTGAGCGTTTTAAGGGAGTATTTTTCAACCAGTGTGCCGTGGCACGTTGGTGTGCCTTGAGATGTTTATCAGTGTGCCTTGGATGATCCAATATCACCTGCTTGCTCAAAATCATGTGAAAAGAAAATAATGGGAGTAAGTAAGTAAGCAAGTAAGTAATCTTTATTTATATCCCGCCTTTCACAGACCAGAGTCACAAAGCGGTTTACAAGTGTTTTTTTTTTTGTTTTTTGTTTTTTTGAGAAGATTTTTGAGAAGATTTTGTTGTGCTTGTCTGATTTGCCAAATAATACACATTGATGAGAACTACTTTGCTTTGTTAATAAAGGCTGTACAGCAGGCATGTCAAAGTCAAATACATCAGAGGGCCAAAAAAAAATGTTTGCTACGCGCCGAGGGCCGGACTGGTTCAATGTTTCTCAACATCCAGAGGCAGTGCCGGTGACACCTGTTGGCTCGATAAAATATGCTCTAAAGCCAATCCTCATACTGTACATATTAGATGTAATAGACATCTGAGAACATGAAAATAGTAAAAAAAAAAAAAAAGCTCAAACTTGGTGACATGTAAAAGAGCAGTCTGGACCTCTTTTCGGGGTGTTTTTTGATTAAATCTGCAGAATGGATTATACTTTGGGAAATACAAGTGGATGTTCTTCTTCAATGAACAGTTACGGAGAAAAAGAGACTAAGCAAGGATGGGGAAAGTCTAATTTGTTGGAGCAGCAGAAGACGAAAGGTTAAAAACAAATACAGACGTGATTTATTTTGTGCTCATATTATGCGTTATATCTTTTTAATGCAATGTCTGATATCGTTTTCACTTACATATAAATATAGCTGAGACAATAAGCTTTAAAATGATATATAGCTTGTGGCTTATGAAGTTCAAAATACATCTGCTATTGCCAGCAGATGTATTTTTTTCCTCGTTTGCTCGAGCCGGCGGGGGCTAGTGAGCTTAAGGGGTCAATGCATTGCCTCAATGGCAGGCAATCTCCCGGGGGCCATAGATAATTCATTCGCGGGTCGGATTTGGCCCGCGGGCCTTGACTTTGACACATGTGCTGTACAGTTTCAAATTTGTATCAAATTCAGTTGGTGGTGTGCAATGTGATTTTTTGCAATGACAAAGGTGTGCCACGGCTCAAAAAGGTTGGGGAACATTGTTTTAAGGACCACGTCTCATTTTCACCCGGATCTATTGCTCAGCCACTTGAGCTTGTGTACTTGCGCTGGCCAATGACAACGCGGGTGTTTCAGGGGTTTGATTGGTCAGAATAAAAACAAGTCAAATCGTCATATGGATAACGCACAATATTTTCCCGATAGAGCAACGCAATACCCTCATGAAATGCAACTAGGAAGAAGTTAGGCCTATCAATAATGAACCTGTCTCTATCATAATCCAAACATAATATGGGCATGTATCTGTACGTGGAATAACAAAAGCATCATCTACTGAATCCCATTGAATCATTTACGATATATTTCTGATCTCCTGAAACCTCTGTTCAAACGCACAGCGACCCCACTCAGTTCTATTATACTGTACATAACTGGACCCCCTTCTGAGAAATGGACTATAAAATCATTCTTACACACAGCGGCTGTGTTCCATGTACAAACCATTTGCACACTTTTGTTACTCACGTTGTCCCACCCATCTCGCTTTGGTTTGGACGGCGGCCATGTTGTTGCGTTTATCGTCTCCTCCTCTCCTCTTCCGCTTAACTTTTTTCCCTTCTCCCTCGTTCTCATTTATCTCGTCTTTCTGGGTCAAGACAGCCGCGCTAAGACTCCAGCGCCGGCAGTATTACATAGCCCAGCATGCAACGCAAAAAACCCCCACCTAACTCGGCAAGATGTTGTAAATTTGCCGTTGCGATTTTTTTGTGCTTTAGCTACTGCGTCTAGAGCGCAGCATGGGAGATGACCTGACAATGAACAGGGCGAGCAAAGGCGCAACAGTGCACGCCCACATGTTCTGCAGCCCGGTTCCATCTGTTCCCGTGCCACTCAGCTGGGTGCGACGGCTGCAGAAGGTTTGGGAGCACGCTGGGGGTTGGCTGAAGGGTTAAATTTGTGTGCGCGGAAATCAATTTGTCTTTGTTGCTGTAAATTAACAAGTCTAATTCTGTAACTACTTGAAGGTCTGTAGGTGGCTTCAGCAATGGCGAATTAATTCAACGTTTAGCAGGGCTGGGGAAAATGATAGCTTGAGAAACATTCACAGGAAAATTGAATTCAAGTTTTTCTCATTAACAACACGCACTTTAAAAAATGAGACAAAACCCATGACAACGTGAAATGGGTTGCAAAAGGGCCGATACAATATTCAATGTTCACTTACAGAAGCCAACCTGTTATTTTCTAAAAGACCACAGCAAAGAAACTTGCGACGAGGAAGTGAAAGCATAATGATATATGATTTTCATTATATACCCAAAATATATATAGCATTAGTTACCCCTGTAATTAACCCTTTTGCTGCAATCACGACAGTCTTTCATATGACTCTAAAAGCTCTGCACATCTAGAGATTGAATGTTTTGCCTATTTGTCTTTATAAAACAACTCAAGATGTCAGATTAGATAGGGAGTTAGTAAAGTTTATAACGCAAAAACTAAAATTACTTTCATAGATTGAAAAAAAGATTTCAAACACAGACAGATTGAAGAGATAATGTGGATAAAATCAAAAGGAAAGATTGACAAATATGTTTTTGGCGACATTTTAAACGACCAAATCAGCCTCTGATTTGACCATTCTACTGTGACGCCAGTTACATAGAAAATAAAATGTCCTCAGTCTGAAAAAGTGGCTGATGAAATCCCACATGATTTACATGGTTAACACAACATACGTAAATCACTTGATATAAAAAGAAATCGTAAAAAAAAATAGAAAAATAAAAATTAAAAGACCCTTGAAAAAGGTGTAACAGACATGATGGTTTCCGTCCATTTTTCTCTGACAATTAAACTTGAGAAAATAAAAATCTGGTCTGGTTTCACATTTAATTGGTTGACAATATGAAAGTATCACTTTGTTTCTACTTTGTGTAATTGTGGGCATCTGAAAATACGTAACAAACTTACGCAAAGCTTATTCCGTCAAATCATCACGTCCGATACATAGTAAAATAAACAGGGCCGCTATAGGAAACTTGTCTAATGTGTAAAACAGTTATGTTCTAGCAACTTCTAATGGACAGAGGTGGTGCTTGGAAACATGAAAAACATAAAATATCTTTTTATTATTATTATAAATTAAATATTAATTAAATTTATTATTATTCAAATAAAATTTTTGGCCTTTTGTCATACTTTTGTGCCCTTTAGTGTGAACAAGCCCATTTCCAAATG